GGACAATGCTTTCCATTTATATGAAATGAACGAAAAAATTATGAAAGAACTAACATAAATGTGGTTAATAATTTTAACTTCAACTTTCCTGCGCTGCGCTGCGCTGACCGCACTGTGTTTGGCGCAGTGCGTAAAGTATTACTACAGTCCTGTATGCGCTATTCGTTTCACGCCGACCGCTGCTGCACGCAATGCGTGTAGTATTCATGCAGTATTGTGGGCGCTATGCGTTTCACGCTGCCCGCTGCTGATTGCAGCGACCGCACTGTCTTCGATGCAATGCGTGAAGTATTCACGCAGTCTTGTAGGCGCTAATATGTTTTACCTGCCGACCGCCGCGCCGCGCCGAGGGTTTCTCCTTTTCATCTCAAGTTCTCGTCATCATTGCTCTATGCGCCGCGCCGTTCTACGCCACATTCCGTGTTCGGTTTCTCTCTTGATCTTAACTCGACTGATTAAAGGTACTGTCTGTTGTATCACAGAAAGACTACAAAATTAGAGATATACTACCAGGAAATGAGAGATTTTGTCACCTTTTCTCGTTTGTAATTTTTTTTTTCTGAATCAGATTTTTCTTTACAGCTACATCTAAAAAAATTTCAAAATTTGCCGCCATGGGCCGTGGCCCATGTGGCCACCCCCTAAATCCGGCCCCGTTTGCTATGGACCACTAGACAAGGTACAAATTTCAGCATTCTGATACATGTTTCGTAACTAAAATTTCACGTAGAATACGATGCGCACAACAAAAATTACCGAAATTAACTCCTTATGAAGATATTAAATAATTCTTGATGCGTGTATTCAAACCATTCGCTCATGAAAACTCAATGCTCTACGTGATTCACATCGCGCGCTAAACGTTATCATGATAGTCTCTGCGATATAAAAATCTGGCAACCTCCATCTTGACGCATTGGATCAGCTATACTAATTTGCTTACAGTTTGGAAAATACATGGCGGAAAATGAGCATTGCTCGATTAAGAAGCTTGCTGAAACCGTTAGTGCGCGATTTGACTCACGTAGAGCTTTGAGTTTCTTGTGAACGGGCAGTTCAAATTCCTCGTAAGCAATGTGAAATAAAAATGTTAATATCTTTGTTAAGAGTTAGATTTAGTAATTTTCGTTAAGAAAATCCTGTTCTACGTGAAATTCTGGTTAAGATACATGTATCAGAATGCTTAAATTCGTACCTTGTCTATTGCGGCAGTGTGTCATGAAGAACAAGGCCAATCGGTGGATAGAGTAAGCGAGGGAACTTCTGAAACGGACGGTGCCACCCACGCGCTGCAAATCATGAGCACTGCAAGCCATGTTTCATTAACAGAATAAGATTTACTCCCCAACATCGGAAAGGTGTCAGCGCGTCGCGGCGTTCAGCAATTAGTTATTCATCGATTGATTTGTCATTCGAGTGGCTCAGGACCCAGACCCATCTCTCCGGTCACTGGGCTTTCCAGACCACGCTCAAGCCTCCGTTGCCAAATTTTTACTCGATTAAATTAATGAATTTTTTTATGAGTTTTTGAATTTTCTTTTGATGGACATTAATGCGATGAACGACTTCGCATGCGAATTAACAAAATTTTACGATTAAGTGACTATAGTTCATGTTTTCTACTTCTACTCAATCGAATACTGTAGAGTGGAAGTGAAAGGCCTAAAAATTCTTTTGGAAGCAGTATTTTAAATCGGAAAGTAAGTTTTTATGTATTCCTACGGATTTTGTACATTTAAATCTGGCAGCTTGAAAAAAAAGAGAAGATCAACATTGTCTTGTAGAGAGGAGAAAATCCTCGAAACCAACAGCGAATAATTACTTTTTAAAAGTTTGTCTCGCTCCGGTAACCATACATTTTTGTGATAAAAGCTTGAAATTAGTGAAAAAATTGTCTTTTCTTCAAAAATGAGGATCACTGTATGCGATTAAGGATAAAAAGTCGAAACTCGTTTTTTAATCACCAAAAATTGATTATGAAATCGAGGAGTGAAGCAATCTTGAAACGTAAAACATTAAAATTCCAAACTTTGATAAAATATTTAAAAAATGTCCGACTTGAAAATGTGTGTAAAAATAACCAAAATTTTGTGGTCATTATCTTCCTCTTACTCATGACAGAATTGCAAAGTTTTGAAATTAAAGTCCTTCAAGTGGCCATCCCGAAACGCTTTTAGCTCTATCTCAAATTGACGGACGTGAAAAGTGCATACATTTTTTGAGGTTTTTAATACTTATGAATTAATGTTCTTTATTTACTCAGATTCTAATTTGAGAAAAAACTAATTATTTTTAAAGTTATAAATACATTATAATTTAAATTTTGAGTTCAATATTCATACTTTATTTAAAATTTAGAGAATACTTCAGTTTTTCACTAGAATAATTCCGTAAATTTTTCTCTGGGACCGAACCAAAAGCAATAAATACAGACGAGAATATTATAAAACAACGTTGCCACGGTTTACAGAGAAAAAATTGACAGATTCATCGACTAAGCGTTTAATTTCTGCGGACATTTGACAATAATGATTCGTTGCTGCCCTCTTACTTTGCCATCGGTCATAAAAGTATTTACTGTTTCGCACAATTCGTTCGACATGACCTTCGGGGACCATCCCATTCGAATGACGCATCTTTGCTTTTATTTAGCAAGTTCTTGATAATAAAGCGCATGTGTTTTACGCCCCCTTACATGCGGTGATTACTTGTATTGTCCACGAAAGGTTTCAACCCCCCAGTAGGCGCAGTCACCTATATGCCTCACTCACACACGGCCGAACCGCTTCGCGGGAGACCGTTTCGAAAGCAGTCGGTTTTTAATCATCATTAAACGTTCGAACAAGGCATTTGCGCTGATGAAAATATGGAGATCTTTACGATCCTGGACTTGCTGAAGAGCGTCTGGCATTTGTTTTCTCACATGGGTTGACCAAATGAAAGCAACTTCGTGAGTCAAAGAATTTTTCAATTATGATTTCATTACCTAGTTTGCAATTACAATTTTCATTTGGGTAGACAAATAGAATGCATCCTTTCGTGAAATCTTTGGAGGATTTTATTACCACTAGTAGCTGCACACCTGTGCTTCGCATGAAGATCAACAGTTTGGTTGAGAGGGGATTTATTGGTATGAAATGTTGAAATATGTTAGTGATGAATTCAGAATTTTGGAATCAATAAATCGAGAAATATTGGGAAAATGAAGGGCACTTTTTTAGGGAAAACTTCCTTCATTTGGAATTCGGCTCATCGATTATTTAAAAGTTTTATATCGTTTTCTTTGCCAATATGAAAAATGGATAAACTCATAACTTATATTTATTTGTCCCTATCGGTTCCGGCTCACCCCAATATAGTAACCTCACAATTCCACCCAATGAAGGCCCAAAACGCAAAAAAATTAGTCATAGATTTTGTTCCAAATTCCATGCGACTTGCACAAGGATTGTTCTCTGAAAATTTTGCACGGGAACTCCAAAATTAGTTTTTCCGAGGAGAAAGAAATCCAAACAAAGGTCGACTCATTAAAGTGGGTTAAATGAAACTCTATACATGTCATGCTCAAGTCCCAATTTTTTTCCGATTTCGAGGGTCGGAAACATTTACTTAATATGCATATCTCAGAAAATTAGCAATGCCGGGATAAAATTAAGTAAAAGTTTTCTTCATTGGCACAAAATGCAACGCTGGCATTAAGTGAATGAGTAAGACACACGATCAGAGCTTGATATAGTGTTGCATGGGACGGATACTAAACGAATCTCATATTAACGAGAAGATGCAACTATTCAAGCTCCAATGATGTCCGTATTGCATACGCACGGAGTCGAAGGCGTTTTGACTGTCCAGGTATTCACCACTTCACCCGTGGTGCAGTACCAACGGTGGGTCTTACTGCGAGGATCCAAAATGGCAGAGCGCTTGTTTATACTCGCGTGTTTATACCATATAGATATCTCCCAAGCACAGATAGTTGCATTGAGACATAGGATTTGAGTATATTTATGTGAAAAGTCCGGGGGTCTTTTCGAGAAAATTTGTCCAAGATTTAACCACTTCTATACGTCTAGTGCAAAAAAATTTGAAAAAATAAAAAAAGGTATTCTTTCTTTCCGCGACCGGAATATGGAAAAATATCTGATAACCGGTAATTCCCGAGGGGTAAATAACATGATATTCTCCTGATTTTTGGAGTTGAAATACGAACATTTATAGAATATAACAGCCCATGAGTTTAAATTGATTCATTCCATTCCATCAAAGAAAGCTACTGAAAAAAAAACCGCGGACAGTTGAGGCTCTGCTGCATTTCCGGGTGTCTTTCTATGAAAAATCATGAAAGATTTAACCATCTCAGGATGTCTACTGGTTTAAAAAGAAAAAAAAAACAAATTAAAAAATTCTTCATCATTTCCGATGATGGAAATGCAAAAAATTTCGAAATGCAAAAAAATTCTAGATTATTAATAATTTCCGAGAAGGAAATAACGTGAAATTTCCATAATTTTTGGAGTCAAAATGACGAAAATTCCCAGATCATCAGTCCAAATGTTTAAAAAGAGTATTCTTTAAAGTCAATTGGATTGACCCTCAAATTTCTATCCATGTCAAAATTACCTGATAATCGAGGAAATGACGTGATATTTCCCTAACTTTTATAATAAAAAAGACTGGAATTCCCAGATTATTGGTCCAGACGTTTAAAAGGAGTTTTTCTAAAATTGGTTCGATTGACCCCCCAAATTTATTTCCATTCCATAAAGAAAGCCACTAGACAAAAAGAAGAAAAAAAGAAAGAAAAATACGGTTCATCAGAATCGCGGATAATTGAGGCTCTCCTCCACTTGTTGAAATTTTATTTTTTTGTAGACGTATTTTGGGAGTCTGAGTCGGGGGCGGGGGAGCGCCGCCCCCTCTCGGACTTCGGGATGCTCCGGCGGGCGAGGATGGACGCGGCGGCGGCGCGGTGGCGGCGATATAAAAGTGACGTGGTTGCGCCAGGATCGCTTATTAGTGGTGAATCCCAGCGTCCGCTCGCCGATAGACTTTACCGACACTCGATATTACTCGTCCGACTCGCAGACTCGTGCGCGCGTGAAGTGATTTTACTCTTGTTTCATCCCCAACTTCCTCAAAGGACTAATCAATGGCTATACACTTCCAGGTAACACTCCTAATTTTTCAGCACTTTTTCACTTAGAGCACAATTAAAACCGATGGGCTTTGAATTCGATGAAATTTTTCCCTTTTTTTGAGTAAAAACCAGGGTAATAAGTGTTAACATTTTTTAACGAAAATAACGACGGTGTAAGTCGGCAATCACATAACTCGATTTGCGACGTCGCAAACTTCCTATCATACTTTATTTTTTAAACGGAAAACTACTCAACGGCAAGTATTGAAAACTGCTGTGATTTTTCTTCTCTGTGTGAAGAAAATTCTGCAAAAACTTCAAGGAATGATGTCAATTTGTTCTCCTTTAGTAAAATAACATAGAGGCGGAGATTTTCAGACACCGCAAACGAGTTATGCGATTGCCGACTTACATCGTCGATAAGTGGTGAGCGTAAAGTTCGTCTGACTCTAGGTCAAAAAGTTCTAGGGTAACTTTGGGGTACCTTTCGGGTAACTCTGATGACCGATGGGCTTTGAATCGTGTTAAATTTTTCCCTTTTTTTCAGCAAAAACCAAGTATTCAGTTTATTTTTAGGGTAATAAGTATTCACAATCTTTTTACATAAATTAAGTAATAAGCCTAAAGCTCGTCTGACTCTAAGTTGAAAGGTCTCGGGTACCTTCGAGGTGACTTTACGGGTAACTCGGATGACTGATGAGCTTTGAATGCGGTGAAATATTTCCCCTTTTCAAGTAAAATCCAAATATTCGGTTTATTTTTCAGGGCAATACCTAAGTATGAACATTTTTCAACGGAAATTAAGTGCTGAGCCTATAGCTCGTCTGATCATACGTTAAAAGGTCTCGGTACCTTGCAAGTAAACTATCCGAATTCCTCTGCAATCAATCACCCGACAATGCAGCCTTGACAGAGGTACTTCTTACACAAATGGGCTTTAAGTGGATGAAAGTCTAATTTTTTTTAGTAAAAGATCTATCTAGTCTAATCAATGGCTGTACACTTATAGGTAAACAAGGTGGTAAAAAAGTGCTGGGCCTCATCCTTCGGGGGGGGGGGGGGTAAAAAAGTTGGGCGATTTCAATTTGAGTCAAAATTTTCAAAAAATTTCAGGGCTCCAAAGTGCACTGCAGTTCGAATTTTACTCATGATTTCCATCGGTGTGGTGAGTTCAGCACACCTGGCCTTAGACCAATAGAACCCGTCTTTGAACCCCTGTAGGGGCGAAAAAATTGTGATGAGACGGACGTTTGGGTCTGATGAAACGGATTTTCCTCAGCCTCATTCTATAAAAATGTGAACGCATTTAAATCAAAAGGAACTTTATTCATTTTAACATGAGCCTTAAGATCTATAAGCATAGATCCATGACAGCTAGACCTCATGTCACATTGGGTATAGTTCCCTTTGATTTGAATGAATGCATTTGAGAACCTGGAACATCGGTGTGTGTAGCCCCTTTCTCAAAGCAGCAGTCCATACGTGGCCGCATCAGGTTCTCCTCAGAATATTAGGCAAAAAAAGAACCTCCTTTTCACCGCAAGTTTTGCTTCATTATCATGAATACTTTCATTTCTTAAATTTTCATTTGCTATTTCAGTTCGTTATCTAGAAATCCAGATGACTTCGTTTAAAAAGTACATCCAAACATCAATTCATGTGGTCTACCACAACTTTTTTGGATCGAGTAACTGAAAATTTCGGCCATAGAGTTCGAATCTTGATACAAATAACCGATGTTTTCGGCCGCTTCACTAAGAGACATTAAAGACCTTTATATTTCACACCTGAAACTTTCATTACGTCAACCAAAGTTCGGTTTCTACGATCGAAGTCTTAGTTCACTTAATCCTTAAACATTGGCGGGCTGTACAAATTGAAACTATTCGATTGTTTTAATCCATGTTCATTTGCGTTCGCATAGGAAAATATGCTCTACATGACACCTCTTTCTTTGCAACTTTTACAATTATGATATAGGTTTTTTGTCGCTGCTAAAAAGGCCCTTTCAGGGTGTGCAGATTCGTTGGAGTGGGAGGTTGTTTTACATAGTGGCCAGGGCAGGACCCTTTAGAAAGAGTTCAATGAAACGCGTTTGGTGGAAAAAAACTGTGTTTAGACTTTTTATGATTTTCCTGAAGTCATTATATTCAGAGAGAAAACCAGTCAACAGGCAACTGTTTTTATCAATCTGCTCCTCTTTTACCTAAACGAATGATAGGGTTCTTCCATATATCATCAATGAAGCTTTATATACATCAACGGTTTTTTTTGGTTTTCGACTTTAGGCTTGCCAACCTTAGAAAATTTAACAACTCTCAAGTCACAAAAAGTTGTATCGTTTTTCATTAACCATTTATAAATGATCTCTACAACATTCATGCAAACATGCTGGCTAATTTTCATTTGGAAAACATGAAAGAACAAATATTTTTTTTGAAAATTGTGATCTACGTACATATTTTCTAGTTTCCCATCGGTATGCAATTTGAACCGTCATGAAAATGGTTAAAACTTCTGCTATACATAAAAATACCAACCATACTTACCAGACCCCGAATCTTTTCAATTTTGTTATATGTTTCTTAATGACTTTCTTCAGAATAAATGGAATATTTTGATTTGAAAGGAAAGAAACCCTGGGGGTGAGCGAATCCTCAATATTCAGCAAAAAAAATACTTGTACATTATTTCAAAGAGAGGAGTAATTGGACATTTTTCAGACATATGTCAGTATGGATTAATATATGCGTTCCCACTCATCTTTCTAATAATGCAGAAGCGCTAAACTTGGCATAAACTCATACTGATCATCTTCTCCCACATTTTCCTCTCACTTTGACCTTATTACGTCTCCTCGCTCGCTTGTGTATTGTTTAGCATACATTGGCAGCGGCTGAAAGGGCCTATTAAAAATGGTCATAAAATATCAGCAAAGGTCACGTCAATTAGCTTAGCATGCGTGTAATTAACGCAATTAGGAAATTATCTTACGGACAAAAATGCATCAACATCGGCACTCGCACGGTACAAAATATAAAAATTAGGAATGTTGATGGCCACAATCATCATTTTCAGAGTTTTTCCTCTTTGGAGGCCCGTGCAGCAATTGAGTTTCATTTAAATGGTACAACTATCACGGAAGGAATTAGCAAGTATGATGTGGTAACGGATTCTAATATGTTTAGACGATCGAGTCTCCTAGTTTAAAGGATTGCGTAACTTAGTAAAGTTTTAATCTAGAAAAGGACTAAAAGGACCTTTTGGTCTCTTTTTGACGGGTTAGAGGTGCTTCAGAACCAATTTTTTCTATTAGCGTGACTTGATAGGGAACATAAATCACATTTCCAAAAAGATAATTTAAATTAAATCGAATTAAAAAACTACAATTATTTCTCCAACTGAATAGCTGAAGATAGACTCCTTGGATAATTTTTGTAAGAAAAGAAGAAAGAGGAAGCTGGGATCTCTTTCTTAGCGATTAGAAAGTGGAAGTGCCAAATCTTTCAAACCGGCTAGATACGAATAGAGGTAGATAAATTGCACTTTCAATTACAGGAGGGAAAAACAAAAGTAGAAAAATAGAAATGAAAGGAAATTTCACCAAAAATTACATATCCACCCTTTTCAACTGTTCGAAAGAAAAAAACGGAATCTTTTTTGAAGTTCACACTATACGAGGTATCACTCGCTTTTTCTGACTCAATTAGATACGCTATGCTACCATGCGGAGTATGAATCGCCGTTCAAATTTTTAAAAAATGCCAAATGAAAAAACCAAAAATATCAAGTATTTTTTCATTGGATTCTACATAAGCAGTTTAAACCGACGAATATACAATTTTCAATTTAAAAACATTAAAACGGTTTTAAGAAATAAATATTTTCTTGAAGGAAATTTTGCAAAATACGAATGGTCATAAGGACTGAACTAAACTAAATTTCTTGAAAAGTCTCTTCATTTTTCTCATCTGTCGGAGAAATATATTTTGTTTAAATGTCAAGTTGTAAAATGTTGGCTAGTTTATCTACAAAAAGATACAATAGGAGCATATATTTTGAAACGACGCAAATGAGATACGTAGTTTCACACTTTGGCCATCGATATGGCGTTCTCTCTTAGCAAGGCAGCAGTGGCGCCCCCAACCGATGTAAAATTGCACCTCGAGCGGCCCCGCGACGTGACTCGAAGCGGTGCTTTTCTTTTCAAAAACTGTCTCTTGCCCGGTTGTTATCAGCGGTCACAAGGTGCGAGGTGTCGTCTCGCGACTTGCGACACCATTTTTGCCAGATCGTGCCAAGATATCAGCACTTTTCCTCATTTGAATCCATGCAAAATATCCGCACTTTATCGCAAATCTGGCAACGCTGTGCGACACCTCCTATACACTCTCAGTGGCTCCTTTGAAATCAAGCCCGCAAGTTCATTGAGGCCTCTGTGTACTTGCTTTACCCGTTGGTTGACGTAAGTTTTCTCCCTTGTAGTAACTGGTACTTACATGCTTTTGGGTCGCCGGGTCACATAGTGTTGCCGCTGATTGTGCATGACAGCAGGCCTGAATGAGAATCAAATTAAGGTACTTCCGTGCATATGTTCTCGTAAAAAGTTCAATCGACGACGTGTAACATCCCCGTATTCGCGTCACCGAACATACAAATCGTTTAGCAAAAGAATTAACTTTCTCCTAGAAAATGATCCATTGATGAAATTCTTTGAGCATCCTGGTCGTAGAAACCAATTATTGGGACCAACATTTCCGTTGCAATGACTTATGTGTCATTTTATTTTATAATGTTACAAGGAGAGCTTCAAACAGAGGCTGTGGCACTTGTCTATCTTATGCTCAGCACAATTAGAAATAGAGACACAACAGCACACATATAATATTTTGGGTGATATTATCACTAGACAAATAGATTATATTCAGGAGATGTTTCCCTGGATCTTTTTTGTCTTTTAATTCCTCAAAAAACCCCAAATGCCGATAATCTCTTCAAAAATTTAAATTTTTCACAAAATCTCTAAATTC